GTGCTGATTGCATCCCCGCAAAGAAAATCAAATCGCACGCCGGGCCCATGGATGGCCCGCGCAAGGGCGCCGTAAATTAACCGCAATACCAGCCGGCGGCCACGCGCAAACGCGCAACGATAAACTATAGAAAACAGCACCCACGAGGAGACGACAGAGAGAGACAAGGAAACGACGAGGAGAGAGGAGCTCAACTGACGGCCCGGGACGCCGCCGCAGCGGCGGCCAGACCAGGATGCACTGCGCACGCTTCCTTGCCAAAATGGTCCTAGGAGGCGCCGGCGCCGGGCGCGCGCCCGCGTCGAGGCGCGCTGGCGGCGGCGCGCACAGCGCGCAATGCCAGGGCCCCCCGCGCATGCTCGCTCGCAGCGGCCTCGCAGAAACGATGAGACAACAGGAGGAAGGAGGGCGGGCGGCCCGAAAGGGCAGGCCGCTGCAATCCGAGACGCGAGCGGCTAAAACGCGCGACGCGCGGGCAGCGCGCGCAGCGTTGAATGCTGTCCTCGCCGCCCCGCAGCTGACGGGGCACGCGGCGCGCCGCAGCGTGCGGCGGCCGGCGAACCAGCTACCCCGGAGCGCCCCGCGCACGGCTGCCCAGACCCGGGGGGGCACCAGCCGCGAAATGCCAATCGCGGCAGATTTCGCCCGCCCGAGGCGGCGGCCAGGGAGGGCGCCGGGGGGCGAAAAACGACGCGGAGAGCGGGGGGGGGGGCGCAAGAGGGGGGCCAGGAATGCGGAGCACAGCGACGCATCTGCGTTGCCAGCGGGCGAGCGGGACGGGCTCAGGATTCCCTTCGTGTCAGCGCGTCGATGGACATGCCGGAGTCGCGCGCGGCCCTCCGCATCTCGTCGCGGGCGCCCTCCAAGTAGCTTTGCGGAAAAGCCGGTCAGCGTTGTCGTCGACGGCGCGAAAACTGACCAGGCGCCGGGCGACTCGCAGCCCGCCGTTCCCACGGCCCCCCCACTGATTTCCCTGGCACTTGGCAGCGCAAGCGACGTCGCCGGCCACCGGGAATTCCAAGGGGAATCCCAAAGCCGTCAAGTTCCGCATGGCAGCAGGCGTGGCCCAAGCACGCGGGCCGGGGAAAAGGGCGGCGACAGCTTCTGCTCGATCGCCTGCCCGGTCGCCGGCGCGTGGTCCAATTGCAACAAGACAGAAATGGGAAAGCGTAAATCCGATATGCGAGGACGGCCAGGAGCACGCCGCCCCCTCTTTCTCCACGCAGAGGCTCTCCGCAAAAACGCACCCGCAACTTTCGCCCAAAATCGCTCCGCCCGCTCCGGGCCCATCGCGAATCCAGGACAAGCGGCGCGGCGCTGGGTCGCAAGGCCCCCCCCATGATGGGGGCGGCGCAGGCGAGGCGATGGCGAACGTGAGGCAGAGAGTCAAAGGGGGCCACGCGCTTTTCCCGCGGCGAAGCTTGAGGCCCGAAATTTGAATCGAACTAGCGTTCGAGGGCTGCCGCGCCCCCCGCGCCGCGGGGAAGTGCCACTGCCAAATTGCCCGCGAAAGCACAGGGCGCAGCTGTCGGGGGGGGGGCGCGGAAGTCGACGCGGAAATGCATCTGACAGCGCCGCGAAAAGGAGAGGCGACAATTGGCGCCCCCGTCGGGCCCCAGCCGCAAGCGCGAAACGAGGGAAGACCCCCCACGCGGCAACGATGGAGCAGCGGTCGTTGGTGCATAGCGCCTTGACCAGATGAACGCACCATAGAGGCCAGCCCCAGGGCTCGATCACATCCACCAAGAAGTTCTGGCACACGCTCGGGAACGCCGCTTCGAAGTCAAAGAAGACGACCGCGGCGTCATCGCACGTGAGAGAGAGCTGCGCAGCATCGTCTCCCCCAAAATCCAGGGTTGGAGAACGTGGATCTGCCCCGGACGAAGCCTCGCTGCGCCGCAGATACCGGGCTCGATCGCGGGCTCGATGCAACAACGAACAGCGCTACACATGATCCTGTTGTCGGTGTTCGTGGTGTTGAAAGGCCGCGTTGCGTTGGCAGTGTAGACGCCTGCGCCCTCCGCCGCGGTGCCCGCTGGTTTCCTCTCGGGAGGAGCGCCATGGAGCTCTCATTGGGCGCCTCGCAATCCTGCGCCAACTCATCGAGCCCATCGGGGCCAACGATGGCCAGGAAGGCGCCGTGAAGGGCCCGGGCCGCCAGCGAGCCCAGCCGACGCCGTGCCTCGAAGGGAACGCCGTCGGGCCCAGCAGAGCTATCGCCGGCGTTCTCGATGGCATTCTCAAACTCGGAACACGGCGCAGCGCCCCGACGGATGCGTCTGGCGAGATCAAGGGGAAAGTGGCGAACCTCCTCTTCCAACCACGCCCTGTGGAGCGGCCCGTTTGCATCGCGCTCGCGGAAGACCTCGGGCCAGTGTTCTATAGCCCCCTGCGCCAACATATCTTGCCAAGCCAAAGCCACCGTGCGAGGCCAATCTGGATGGTCGGCTGCGTGATCGGCGAGAGGAGCAACAGGAGCTCGGCGCGGAAGTGCGCCCCGAAAGCTGACTGCCCGGTGACGGGATAGCTTGGGGCACCACTCCAACACAGCACAAGACAGATGCTTGTCGAAACCCTCCACGACGTTCTGGCTGCAGTAGATGCGGTCGAATATGGAACGAGTGTCGGGCGAGGCGTAAGTCATGTCGGGTTGGTGCATCTCGTGGAGGTGGTGAGGCATCTCCAACACATATCGCCAGGAAGTTTCCTCCTTCTTGTCCCGGTGCCCCGAGGGGGCGCCAGAGGAGGCGCATCGACGGCCCCCGGAATCCACGACGTATTTGAAGTCGCCGCCCAAAATGGTGAGGACATCTCGTCCTTTAGATGCTGACTGAATCGCCGCCAGAGTGCATCGCGAAGTTCAGGAAAAGAAGGGAAACAGCAAAGATGCTCGAGTCCAGCTGCCTCAACGTCGAAGGAATTCACGCTTTGACCAGTATGGAAAAACGTGACATAAACGTCCAAATTCCCCACATCGCCACGCAAATGTAGCACCGCGGCTCGAACAGGCAAAAGCACTTGCCAACGAGGAGTCTGGCTGAACTGCTTGAGGAAACTGTTCCGGATGGTGACGCCCACGCTGGCGCTCGCAGGTGGGGGCACAGGAAACCACCAAGACGTGCAGTCAGAAGGATTGCGCCAGACAGCATTGCCACCAGCGCTACCGTGGGTCTCCGTCCATAAGCCGATATCGTGCGATGCCACGAATTTCCAAACATGTGCCGCCTTGTCGCGATACCACTCCACCTTCATGGCGAAGAAAGCCTGGCAGTTCCAGGCGACCACTGAAACATCCCCACGAAAGAGCCGCCTGCCCGTGGGAACCGGCGCGCCGCTGCAGAGCTGGAGGGCGAAATCGTCGAAGCAGGTGCGGCACGCTCGCTCGTAGCAGACTCCCGTTCAATGCGTGGCGAAGGAGAGGAAGAAGAGGCCGGTGTAGGAGGTGACGCAGCACGCCCAAATAAACCGCGAAGAGCGCGTTGGCAATGATGTGATTGGGATCGTCCACGTCGGGCGTATAGTGCGCAGAGAGATAGCTGGCAGTCCTGGCCGAAGTTGGGCTCGGATTGCAGTGAGCTCACGGAGGACGTTGTGAATGACCTCTGGGTGAATTCGCCTCCACTTCATTGCTTACTCTAGAATTCCATGCCGCATGTCGTCGAAGGCCGCTTTGATGTCCAACGAAGCTATGAAAACAGACATTGACTGGAACTTCCACGCTGTGTGCAGGACATGCCTGACGACGCTTGTGATGTCCGTAGTGCGCATCCCACGCATGAAACCGTAGGTGGCCACATCGATGGGCAGAACATGGCCGCGAAGTTGTTCTCGCATCGCATGCTGGTACCATTTTTGGCGAACCGCCTGTTTAGCTATCCACCTCAGGCTTTTGGCAAAAATGAAGGTCCCCTGGGAATCCGTTTTCGGTATAACAACTTACTCCATAATTTTCTAAGCACGGGGAGGTTGGTTCTCGAATGATGTCAGCCGATGTCGAAAACACATACGACGAACGGCACATGGTGGTAAACCTCCGGAGGTATGCCGTCCACTCCGGCAGCCGTCCCTGTTGAGAGCGATGCGCGAGCATGCAGCCCGCGGTACAAACTCAACGGCTTGACACTGATGCCAGTGTTTGATTTTTCCCTGCGCTGTATAGACGTTGCCCTCATCGCCGAACCTGGCCAAGCCGAACATCTTGGCCTCCGTGCGTATGCGGCTCCTGTCCATAACTTCGCCGGCCTCCGTGTGCACAGACATCGGCATAGGTACCTGCGTCGTGCGCCCAGAGCCCTGGATCTTGAGGAGCCGACGGGCTGTCGATACAGAACGGACTTCACGTCGGAGTTTGCGCAATTTCCTCACCAAGTTCCGTCGTCGTTCCCCAGCCTATCCTGTAATTGCCCGCCGAGTTGTCCGCAATGCGAGGCTACGCGATTCTGTCCGCATCCGGCTGGCTGCAAGGGTGTGCGGAATAGTCTCTGCGAGTTCGTGGAGCTTGATGTCAAAATCCCTCAGGGTAAGAGTGCGCTGCGCCTGATCGCAAACCCGACGGCGAAACTCTGCTTCCGCGACTGCGTCAGCACGGGCCTGTCCTTTGAGCGAAGTTGGATTGCACTGGCGGCTGTCCTGAACTACGGCGCCCAGAAAGCAGAGCGAACATACGATAGGTATGTGGTCGGATTTCTCCAACACGGTCCCCTGCTCCTGCATGGGCTTGGCATGTCCAGCAATCGCAGGCGTGCAAAATACATAGTCGATCTGCGACTTGCGGTTATGCTTTCGGCCTCGGCCCCAGGTATACTCTTGTATACTAGTAAAGGTGTTCAAGGTCCTCAAAACTGTGACATTGCAGGAAAGACAGAACTGGCACGGCCCGCTTCTCATCGCACTGGCGCAACTTCCGCAGCACAGCATCGCAAGCGGTCCCCCCTCCCTCCTCCCCCCTCCTCCCTTCCTCCCCCACCCCCGCCCCGCCCCGCTCCCCCCCGACGGCGCACGTCCAGGGCAATCTGGGCCGCGCTCTGCTCCGAGTCTTGCTGGCGGCCGCGGGCGGCGGGCGGCGGCGAGCCAGGGAGGCGGCAGGGCGCGGGGAAGTCAACTGAACGACGAAGAGAAGCGGGTCCTGCGCGAGATGGCATGGCGCCCCTGCGCCGCGGCCTACGCGGGCCGCCAGCGCGGCGCACCGCGGGGAGATGAAGGGCGCTCACGAGCGACCTTACGCGGGAAGCTTACGTGCGAATGTCCGCGCAGGCCGACCCATGCCTCCGCCCGTCACGCAGAAGTCACGACGAGACGTCGCCCGGCCAGGGGCCCTCCACGGGCCCCAGAGCCGCCACAAAACGACCTGTGATGAGAAAACCAATCCCGGGGAAAGGTCCAGACCACTGGTGGCCGCGGTGAGCATCCGCCAGCCCCCTTGTGGGGCCATCGGGCTGCGTGGATGAGGCTTGCCCCTGCTTCAGTTCCAGTTTCACATCTCCCATGTTATAGTCCTACGTTCTACTCCCGATTGTGAATTGTCGAAGTCCGCGCAAGGCGGGGGGAGCCCCACACCGTCAAATGCACCACGCCCGAAGCGTGTTGTCTGAATTCCTGCGGGGCCGCGGGACATGTAAAAATACGTCAGATTCGCGTCCCCGAATACATACTATTCGCGTCCTCGAAGCCAGAAGCCATCGTAATTTACACAAGATGTGCGTCACTGAGGCCACGGTTCCCCTTAAAAGATATAATATTCGCGGCCCCGAAGCGACGATTCCCAATACGTTACTCTGTATGTGCGTCCTCGAACCATAATACGTTGTAAATGACATGCTCGTCGCGTCCTCAAAGCCGCAAGCCTTCGTAAATCGCGCAAGATTTGCGTCACCGAGGCCACAGCCCCCAGTAAATCATACACTAGTAGCGCCCCCGAGGCCACTTTCCATTGTGCACTACGCTGTAGTTGCGCTTGCGACGCCATAACCCCTCGTAGATTATACAATATTCGCGTCCTCGAGGCCATGAGCTCTGGTACATTATGCAATATTTGCGTCACCGAGGCCACGACCCTCGTAAATTACTTATATACGCGTCAGCGAGGCCACGATCATTTTGTCAATTATGCTGCGTCCGCGTCCCCAAAGCTACGATCCCTGGTAAAATACGCGATGCTCGCATCCCGAAGCCACGATAATCAGCAACTTCGCAATGCGGACCGTTAGAGTTCGAGAGATGCTTTCTCAGATTTGCGATGCAAGCCGTAACGTACGGGATTGGCCCTCGCGTGGCGTCTCGACATTGCTTCACGACGGCGCCATTATATCCCAACTTAGCTCTGGCATGCCCCTTTCTAAGAGAGAGGGGGCTGGCAACAACGGGCGAAGTCCTTACGGACATATCCGCCACCGTGCCTTCAGCACGTAGTGAAGTGGCACATAGCTCATACAAATGTGACAGCTCGAAGGGCTCTAGGATCTGAAGAGCCAAGGCCACGAAATTCCCAGAATTGCTAGGAGCTCCTGGGCGGCCCCGGGCGCTCCCAAGGCGTGGCCCGTGGGTATCTGGAACAGCGAACCCGCCCACAACAACCCCTGGAAACGCCGAATCTCCCGAGAAATGCCCAAGACGTTCCTAGAGGGCCACGAGACGGCCCACGAGGGCCCAAAGACAGACCGCGATGGACTCACGACGGCCGAAGAGGCACCCAAAACGTCCCAACACGCCCCAAGAAGGCCCCAAGAGGCCGCCCAAGACGGCCCCGGGAAGCCCAGATCAGTTTCCCCAATTGATATTTTAAGAACTTGAACGTTCTCGCCTTTTCGGGCTTCCGACGCTCCAAGACAGCCCAAGAGGCATCCAAGATCGCCCCAAAACGGCCCCACGGGCCCCACACACCAGATGCACAGCAGCAAGATGCATCAGTCTTGGCTGCTGATAGAGGAACGACGTCACAAGAGATCCCCAAACGCGTCCCAAGAGGGCGCCAAGACGGCCGAAGAGGTCCCCAAGGGTTTAAGACGGTCCCAAGAGGGCCCCAAGAGGAACACGAACTGACATTTCGAGCCTTCCGCCCTAAGAGGACGCCCGAGATCGCAAGAAGGTCCCCAAGAGGCCCCAGGGAGGCCACCCCAGGCTCCCCAGAGGTCCCTAGAAGCCCCCAGGTGGTCCCCGAGAGGCACGCAACAGGCTTCCAAGAGGCCCCCGAGAGGCACACAGCGACCGAGGAGAAAGTCAGGAGGGGGGAGAAGGAGGAGGAGGCGGAGGAAGAGGAGGAAGAAGAGGAAGAGGAGGAGGAGGAGGAGAAAGAGGAGGAGGAGGAGGAGGAGGAGGAGGAGGAGGAGGAGGAGGAGAAGGGCCGAGCTTGCCGCATCAAGGCACAGCAGCTCCCTGGGAGAGAGCCCAGGCAGCCGAAGAGGTATAAGGTGCCGCCGTGCCAGGCCGCAGCGAAAGACTGGCACTGGGAGACCCTCAAGGCAAACCTCGGAGGTCGGTCCCCAGGCGTCGACGGACGTCCAGGGACACTCCAGGATCATCACTGGGATATCCCAGAGAAAAAGCTGCATCACATTCGGGACTGACCTACGCGGTGGCCAGACGAGGGAAGCACCAGAAGGCCAGGCCAGCACGGAGCCAGGAAACCCCGACCAATCGCGAGCACCTGGCGGGACCTGAAAACGTGGCACCGGGAGGCAAGCCTCTCAGGGTGCCCCAAACCGAGAGAGAAAGAGAGAGAGAGAGAGAGAGAGAGCGGGGGACAGAGGCGGGGCCCGGATCGTGCCGTCCTCGCCACAGGCTGGACCCCACGGGTCTGCGCGGCCGCCTCGGGAGGGATCTCCAGGCGTGCCGAGCAAGCTCCTGCCAACAGATCACGGAAAGCGGCAGAGCAGCAGAGGCCCCAGCCACAGAACGCGCCGAGGAGGATCGGATCCCGGCCCGTCGTCTGCGCCACCCGCCCCCCGGCCACTATCAGCCAGGAGAGATGACGCCGACTCCTCCCTGCGGAGGGCGGTCGCCACCTCGCGGAGCTGAGCGGCACTGGCAGGGGAAGGGCCGAGGAGGCCAAGCGAGGGCGAGGGAGGTGCAGGTGGCGAAGGTTAACGAGGGGGACCGAGGCCGATGCGGACGAGGGCGGGGCTGCCGAGGAGCAGAGACAGGAGGCGAGGAGGGTAAGGACGAGGAACGGGAGCGGAGCGCGAGGGCGAGAGAGGTGTAGGAGGACGAGGGCGAGAGCAGGGGCGGCGGATGGCTCCTTCTTCAAGGTTACCTCCCCGGCCCAGATCTGCGCGCCCCACTCGTCGGGCAGTCCAGGCATCCTGGCGGTGCACCCTTGCCTCCTCATGCTCCTCCTCCTCCTCCTCCTCCTCCTCCTCCTCTTCCTCCTCCTCCTCATGATGATCCTCCTCCTCATTATCCTCCTCCTGCTCCTCCTCCACCTCTCCTCCACCTCCTCCTGTCGCTGTCGCTGATGGCGATAGATCCGAATACAGAGCTGCCCACACCCTCCCCGGCGGACGTCGCCGCTGGGGGCGGGGGGGAGAAGAAGAAGAAAAATAAGAAGAAAAATAAATATAGTAATAATAATAATAATAATAATAATCATATGAATGATAATAATCATAATAATAATAAAAATAATAATAATAATAATAATAATAATAATAATAATACGAATGATAATAATAATAAAAATAATAATATTAATAATAATAATAATAATACTAAGAAGAAGAAGAACAATAATAATAAGAGGAATAATGCAGAAAAAAAGAAGAGGAAAAAAGAAATGGCCTTGCTCCGCGCTTGCGCCCTGGCTCGCAGGACCCCGCTTGGAGCCCTGCGTGGCCGAGAGTCCGGCACGCCCTGTGGCGAGGGCGTGCGCCCAGACCGCCTGTGGCCACGGCCCCTGCTCCCGTGGCCATGACCCCCTCTCCTCCTCCTCCTCCTCCTCCTCCTCCTCCTCCTCCTCCTCCTCTTCCTCCTCCTCCTCCTTCTCCTTCTCGTCCCTCTCCTCCTTCTTTCCCCCTCCTTGCTCCTCCATGGGTCCTACGACGCAATATCATGGCCAACAACTGCGACCACGCCAAATGGGCGACCATGAGCTACGACATCTCTCCTGGTACGTCGAATCAGATTACCAAATATAGTTCACGATATGAACATGAATACCTCAGCCAGTCAGGCAAAGCAACCACACCCACGGACATCATCGGCGCGAAAGCAGAGACGTGCACACAGATCTGGACGAGACCCTCTGAATCTGCCGAGGATATCGTAGAGCTGATCCAGGACCTGAGGACAAAGGCTTTTGACACCCCTACCCTCTGTCAGTGCAGTTCTTTTAGCTCGGACTGCGCGGCAGTCAAAACTGCGGGTGCGTCCCGGGGCCCTAGGACTAGGGCCAAAACAGCGGCGGGCAGCGTGCATGCCACAAAACAAGACAAGCGTGTACATCATACACACACGGTGGCACAGGCGGCAGAGGGGCAGGGGAGTGCACTCTTCACACTGGGTGAGTACAATGCTGCCCCGATGCCGCTCCCTTCGAAAGGGAAACGCTGCACGCAAGTATAATGTATATCAGCCCACAGGCCGAAACACCTCAAGCAAATGCGGCCTGAGGCTCAAGATATAAATATAAATATGAATGTCTAGATTCACTAATCCAGACTGTCAACTCAAAATATATGCATGAAACACCTCAAGCAAAGTGCGGCCTGAGGCTCAAAATATAAATATAAGAATATGAATGTCTGGATCCACTATTCCAGACTATCAACTCAAAGAATATGCATACATCACCGTAGCCCTCACTAGGTCCATCAGCAGCTGCAATCAGGACCCTCACGGGCTCGCAGGCCCTGGAACGGCGACCCGACGCTGGGCCTTCCGATCCTTGGCTCTCTCACGCTGTCCGCGGCGCAGCCGCAGACGGTGTGCCTCCTCATCCTCTTGCTCAGCAGTAGGCACCATGCTGAACAGTCCGTGGCGGAGGAACTGCGATAGCACCTCGTTAGGCTGCGCGGCCTTTGTCAGCACGTCCGCTAACATGTGGCTATTGGGCAGCCACTTGAACTTGATGGCCCCCTGCTCTATCAAATCCTTGGCCACCAACAAGTCAATGAGGGTCTGCCGAGACACCAGCATCGAGCCGATCTTGGACGCGTGGTCGTAGAGCGACTTCGCATCCGTCACGAGCGCCCCTGGAACCTTCAGCGCCAGCCTCCAGTCCCCTTGCAAGGGCGGCTCCCCGTGCAAGATTGCCTCAATCAACAGCCTGAGGTAAAGCTGCCGATCCAAAGCCACGGACATAGCCGCAGACTCTGCGGCCATCGTAGATCCAACAACTCGTGTAATAGTACTGCTCTGAAACTCCACTAGACAGCATACAGTTAGCTCCTTCAACACTCGGGTAACCGTAATCATACTCATGAACCCCATCTGGCTCTTACAGCCGGGTTCCTTCGCAAACGAAGCGTCCATAAGCGTGAGCACCTGCAAGTGCTCGATGTCGACGCGGCGGATCCGGAGAGTCGCAAGACCTCTCTTGTCGTAGTCCTGAAGCCGGTCGATGATGTCATTGAGCACTCGCAGGTGCAGTAACCTCCGACCTTTCGGATCCTTCTGTGCGAGCGCCGAGACACTATACGCGAGCTGTGGCACCACGCGTGCGACAGGCCACCGCACCTTCTGGAGCAAGCTCCGGAAGTCGTGGTGCTCTTCGGGAGTCATCTCCCGCTCCTCGTCGCCACCCCTTGCAAGGGGGTGCTTTGTCAGCTTGCCGATGTACTCGTGCATGCTGATCTCGATGTGATCGGGGTGGCGCCACCACTCCTCACCGAGATAGGCGACTGCCTCCTTGTCGTTGCCCTCCTTCCAGTGCTTGATGTTGAAACGACTGTTGATGTTCGCCTTCACCTCCTGGTACTGGGGGTCGTGCGGGTCTCCAAACAGCATGCCGTCGTCGACGTGCAAGGTCAACATAGCAATCAACTTATCGTTCATCCGATAAACGAAGACAGCTCGAGCGCAGCGCAGCTCCACGAAGCCGACCTCGTCCGTCAGCACCTGGCGGGCTCGGAGATACCACAACCGAGGCGCCCCCGTCAAACCGTACGCCCCTTTCAGCAAACGAAGCAACGCATAAGGTCGCACGGCTGGCCATCCAGCACCGTCGACGGCTGGAAGCCCGTCCTTAGGAGCCCTCACATACAGCTCCCGTTCCAGCTTCAGCCCGGACAGGAACGCAGTCGCTACATCGAAGCACTCGAATGTCCAATCCATCGCCATTGTGATAGACGCACACACCAGCACAGCCAAAGGGGAAGTAGTAGGCGAATCCGTCCTGAATATAGACCAAGCTGCGGGTCGAGATGACCAGGGATGATCAAGCGCGACTTCGCTTCCAACTCCAGCCCTCGCCCCCGGTTCGTGCGAACCGAACGCATGGGCACCGAGATAATCTTGTCCTTTGGGATGCTCTTCTCCTCCTCCTCGGTGACCAGCTCGACCGTGTTGTTGGCCATCCATTGCCGCCACTCGGCGACGTCGGCCTCGTCGAACTTAGCCTTCTCGTGCTGGTTGAAGTGACGTGGGTCTAACTCCTTCGCGTTCTGCTTCATCACGAGTGCGAACACGTCGTGCTCGTACCGGGCCTCCTGCAGCCATGCGTCATACACAGATGACACGTTGATCCGTTCCTCGTAAGTCATCGGCTGCCGTACAAGACCCTCCGGAGTGTCCAAATAGCACACCCCTTGTGCCTGAGCGTCCGGCTTGTCGTGGTAGAAAAGCGTGAGACCAACCCAGCTGTCCTCCGTGCGCTCGTTGGCACGGCTCGCGCCGTCGTCCTTGTAGGCACACTGGCCCGTGGCAGAGAGCATCACCGACAGGCGATTGCACTCCCGGTGGCGGTCGTGATCATAGAGTCTCCGCCGTGGCTCTCGATGTACACGTACTCCTCGTACGACCCTCTGAACGAGCGTGGAGACACCATCCAAGGCATTCTGGTCGAACCACTCCTGGGGCCCCGAGTGCACAACAGCGTTCATGGCCACCTCGCGGAGGGCCGGCAAACCACTCGTAGGAGCAGCCTGCAGACGCGTCTTCTTGATGCAACTCGGCACGTCATCTACCAGGAACTTCCGCTTTCGCTCAAGCTCGAAATCGTCTCTGGGAATCGGCGGCACCGAAGGGCCGCCAGAGCCCGATGCTCCCGGAGAAGCCTTCGGGTACGTCTCAGAGGATATCCGGCCTGGAGGGGACCGAGAACGCGCCCTCCTCGGAGGGGGAAGCTGCGGCAGCTGCTGCTGCTCAGGCGGCTCCTCCTCCTTAGCCTGTGCCTCAATGGCGTCCAGGGCCCTCAGGTCCACACGAGGCTGCCTGGACCCCTCGATCTCCCTATGTCGGTCACGCTCCTTCTTCAAGAATGTCTTCTTCACCTTCTGAACCTTCACCTTGGGCGCGACGTCCACGATGTCGTGGTAGGCGCGATCATCTCGCTGCTGTGTCAGCCGCACGTCCGTCTGGATGGACTCCGCAGCTGCGGCCTCCTGGGAGGAGGCGTGCCGGAGCTGCTCACGAGCAACAAGTAGCACGTGACCACGCCATGATACGTAGTACCGGCTGTTAGATTCCTTCGCGATCACAGTCGCAGGACCCCGCCATCTTTCAGGATCTTGCCGACGACGTCCCTTGAACGGATTCGGTGCCCAGAAATACACCCTCGATCCTGGGCGCAGATCTCCGACGACCGTCGGCGCCTGTCGTAGCAGCGCCCTCCGCACCTTGTCCGTCGCGTCGCGCTCCAGCAACATCATCTTTGCTGCGGTGCGGATTTGAGACGACCGCCAAGCTATGCCCTTGGCGCCGAGAACCGACATGAGAACCTCATCGTCGTCCCTGTTAGTCACCTCCGTAAAGTTCAAGATCCGCCCGAAGACAGCCTGCTCCGGGGTCAATCCATTGCGGCTGATCGTCGAGTTCTTCGCATTGATAATGGCAGCCAGGGCCACAGTAGACATCGACTTGCCCTGGACGTGGAACTCGTGCACCACCTTGCCCCAGATAGTGCCGAGCAATCCTCCGCGGCGCTCTGCCAGGCCATGCTGCCATGCTGCATGAGCCCCCGTCGTCTTCGTATTAATGCCGAACTGCTCCATCAACGCGTTGAAGTAGCCCTCGAACTCGCCGCCCTGGTCGATCACGATGTTCTCTGGCACGCCGCAATGCTTGAACCACTCGTTCATGATCTGGCGTGCTACGTGCTTGGCCGTCCTATTCTTGAGAAGGCATGCGCAGTGCCATCCCGTACCAG